TTTATTGAAAAATTTTTTTAATTTAATTTTACAAGGTTCCTACAGAGCCTGGTTTAATTTAGGTTAAAAAGCCTGGTTTGTTTTAGGTTTAATATCAGCTATATACTTGACATTGTTTTAACATTTATTTTGTTTTGAAGTAGTATATTAAACCGTGTAAATTTTATAAATTGAATTTTTGAATAAATTGTTCATTTTGTTATGTTAAACATGAATACTTTAATTATGGTAATAATCATGAAAGTTTATTTATTTTTAAATGAAATTTTCATTTTTGTGACTACATTCATAAAACTAATTAAATTAATTTGAAGAGCAATTTTTTTTTAATATGGGGTTAACCTGTTGTGCTTATCAGGGCGTTTTATGTGACAACTAGAAAGATTACCATTCTAACTTCCTACTGCAGTTTTATGTTGGGTTTTACGTAGTTTATTAGGTTAGGTGGTACAGATTTTTGAACAGAGTTAAGAAGCCTTTCATTCTCCATATGGATCCAGTTTTTCAGACTTTTAATGGGAAAGTCCTTTCCAATATAAAAGTTTTAACTGCAATGATTAAACTTTACAATGATTTTCAAGACTCTGTTATACTGATATTAACCTTTTAGGCAGCCAGGAGTGCAATTTATTACTTTTATTTTTAGTTTAAATAGTTAATTTTTTTGAAGTAAATATTTCCGTATAGGAAAGCTACATACCAATTATCATGGGAAAAAAGCTATCCATGGATAAAGTTACAAATAAGTCTGCTAACCATGGCTTCTGTCGGTTTTGTTCTGTGGACATAAACATTTCAGCTGGTGTAACCCTGTTTAATCCATATTTGAAGTCAAAAAAACATGAAGAAAATTCAAAAACAGCTAAATCACAGTCAAAATTTGTGACAAATTAGATGGTTTAGCTCAAAAGCTACCTACAAAAAGCATAGTATGAAGTAGCGAAGACCAAATACTTATGGCTAAAATTGTTGTTGTTGTTTAGATATAATTCATTCAAAATGTGCATTTTCTGCAGCTGATGGCGACAATGCTAAGTATAAGAGTATTTTTCCTGATTTTGAATTTGCTAAAGCGTCTCATCAAAAATCTGATAAACTTAAATATTTCACTTCAATCGTTCACTTTGGCATTGCCCCTTATAATAAAAAAGTTATTTGAAAAAAGTTTAAATTTTTTTATTCACATTTCGATTTGATAAAACAACTACATCGCAAACAAAAAAACAATATGACACTTATGTCACATATCAATCTAATCACTTCGGGCTAATAATAACATCGTACTTGGGGGCAATTTTTTGTAACAGAGTATAGTGTGGAAGACCTTCTCGGTCATTTTTGAAAGTTGTTAGGGAAAAATCAGCTCCAACTAGAGTCAATCCTAACCATTAGTATGGACGGTCCCAATGTCAATAAATTGTTCTTAAAAAGTTAGATGCTTTGAAAAAAAAAAAGTCATTATTAATAATTGGTCATGTCCGTATCATACAGTTTCCAACTCTTTTTTGGAAGGTTTGAAATTGTTGATTTCTGAGGATATTGATTTGGACCAATTAGCAACTAATTTGAACAGCTTTTTTTAGTTTTCTGCACAAAGAATTGAACAATATTTTGCTGTGGAATTATTCACAGCATGAATGATTCCACACCAAAATATTGTTCATGAGATACAAGGTCAACAGATGTTGAGAGATGTCTTTACTCGTTGGATATGCATTCTATACGTACTAGCGAGGGTTATCGAGCAGTTTGACATTTTGCATACTCTTTCATTTCTATTGCTCATGTTTTCAAAGACTTTACAGTTGCTCTAGAAATAAAATAGCCTATAATTACAGTTCTGTTCCCAAAGATGCAAAAACTTCTAGAGAGTTTGTTTTCAAAGTTTGTTATTGATTGATTCCATTCAGACGTTTAAAGCCTATATAACCATTTCAACCATTCAGACGGTTAAAGCCTATATAAATGTTGAAAATTCTTGACTTGAATAATGTTGAGAATTGCAAGGTAACATGCATTTTTTATGAGTTGGCTTTTTATTTTAGTTTTTCTTCCTTTTCAAAAATGACTATGTTAGAATGTTGTTTTTACGAGAAACAATTTGTATGTTTTTAGAACAAATAAGAACTTAGTCAGAAAACTGCTTTGAAGTTTGAATCTCTTGATGGACTTCATAGCAAAGTTGTCAGTTTAACGAAAAATTTTTTTTCCAAAAAAATCTTTCGTTAAACTGATTATAAGGTAGTCGATGTAGCAACACTCTCTTTTAGCAGCAGGCTAAAAGATAGTTGATGTAGCAACACTTACGCATGTTTTAAAAATGTTTTGTAATAAAACATAAACAAAAACACTAATAATTAAAAAAAACTTTCTACTCATTATTGTTGCGGTTTTTTCAAAAATCAATAAAATTTAATGTACTTACGCATTAATTTAATTGCTTTGACATTTCGACGACAATAAAATGCAGCTTGAGACAAGGTTAAAAAATTGTAGTCGAAAGAGACTTTGTTTACCATATAAGCCTCTATCGACTACACTAAAAGTATATATATATATTTATATATATATATATATATATATATATATATATATATATATATATATATATATATATATATATATATATATATATTAGGGTGTCTTGGAATTGAAAAAATATTGTGCACTAAATGAATCCCACTTATTTGATTCCTTATTAGACCGCCATAAACTTATCTGCGCTCAAAGTCAATTTTATCTTAAAAAGTTGCTTTAGAAAAAACATGCCTATATATTTTCATGACTTTTTTTCTATTTATTGATTAAAAAACCGGTAGTATTCAATATTTTTATAAAATAACCAAATTGACTTAAAGTTAATCATCGAATTTATCAATTCTGACTGGTATACTTTCTGTGACTTTAAAAAAGTTTATATTTGTCTTGTTCTTTATTATAGTTTCATTGTTTTAAAATACTTTGTTTAATGAAATATTATGAAATGCAAAAATTTATCTTGAGAGAGATTTTATTAAGATTTTTCTCCGAATTTGGCATTTCTTACTCTTTCAATGAGATTTTGATCAATGTTATTTTTGGTTTTACTAATATAGAGAAAAAGGAGATAAGATTTCTGAGGAAAAAAGTGTTATAGCTTTGAGTAAATAGAGACTTGTGTAAACGGTTTTGGTTTATCTTTGTCAGTGTTTTTTTTCTCTACAAAATCAACTTTTAACAGTTTAACAAGAATTTCCATCCTTTTATTCTCCTCTAAGCGCTGCTCAAGTAAAGCAAAGAAAACGCACTGTAGTGTAGAATATGAAGTGTGTCTGAGAAAACAAAGATTTAGAACTTTGCCGATCTTACCGTACTTTTTGAAGTAAAGTGAATATATCATGATCTGCAATAAAATCTTGAATGCTCTTAAATCGCTTGATGGACCCTGATCTTCCTTTAGGATCTTTATACTGAATAAATAGTGTAAGATTCTTATTTAATTTGGTGCATCCTTTATTATCTTAATCTCGTTGACACTTAGTTGTTTGTTATAAATCTTGGTCATTTGCATTGCTAATAGATACAATGATTTAGCCATAAATCTTGCTTTATATTGTGCACCGAGCTGTAAAAACCTGTTCAGTTCAACAATTCTGCTCTAAGGTAAAAGCTAACAGTTAACTCAAATACTCGTAATACCCTCTATCGAAAAAATTGTTTTAAGAGCTGTTGTGCATAAATGCATGGTTTAATTTGTAAGATTGTAAAGAAGGTTCCTAGAGCAAACCCTGGGCTGTTCCTATCAAGTTTCTGATTGTCGGCTTATGAGTTCACACCTATTTTAATCTTAAGCCAAAGATGTTATTGTTTTTTGTATAAGAATCAATTGGGTCCCTTTGTTTCATTCTGTACTTCCATCATAACACGATGAATATGTCTTTTCATTGTATGGTGCAAAAATTTAATATTATTATAATTTTATGTCATTACTCTCAGAAAAATTAAAAAGAGAAAAAAAGCATATAATTTATAAAGTAAAGCATCATACCTGCACATTAGTTAAAAAATGGACAAGGTAGAGAATAAACTGCAAAATTTCTATTTGAACCAATAAGTTTTCAGTGTTTTAGCAAGTTGTGTCAGTACAACAAGCTATGATTTGGTCTGTGAAGTCATTATTTTCATCAAGAATTCGGATAGCTTGATCTCTATATATATATATATATATATATATATATATATATATATATATATATATATATATATATATATATATATATATATATATATATATATATATATATATATATATATATATATATATATATATATATATATATATATATATATATATATATAGATATATATATATATATATATATAAATATATATATATATATATATATATATATATATACATATATATATATATATATATATATATATATATATATATATATATATATATATATATATATATATATATATATATATATATATATATATATATATATATATATATATATATATATATATATATATATGTACATATATGTATCGTCAGTCCCATCACAAAATTGTATTTTTTCAAATAATCTTATTATATATATATATATATATATATATATATATATATATATATATATATATATATATATATATATATATATATATATATATATGTACATATATGTATCATCAGTCCCATCACAAAATTGTATTTTTTCAAATAATCTTATTATATATATATATATATATATATATATATATATATATATATATATATATATATATATATATATATATATATATATATATATATATATATATATATATATATATATATATATATATATATATATATATATATATATATATATATATATATATATATATATATTCATATATATATTGATTAGTAGTGTTGTTGAGCCAAATATGTTTTTAGTTATTTGAAGTATCATACAATCAAACAATTTTTTGTTTATTATATTCATCATTTTGTCTTGCTTATTTTTTAGTTTTTTGGACACAATGGAGTAGTTGGACTTCTTGTAATAGCTCTCATGAATTTATGAACAGGACAAGGGAGTGTCTTGTCTCAAATACTAGTAATTGGTGTGATGGTGAAATGTTAGAAATAAGAGAATGTTTTGGTATAATATTCAATTTAAAATGTTTAGAATAATATATCAGTTCTAAATTTAAAGTTCCTAATTTATATATAACGTTAACATTATAAAAAAAATAACTAAAATTTGGAAATTTTTTAATTATTTTATAAATAGTTTAAGTTTAAAAAATGAAACTATAATTTACTGCACTTACAGTTTTTAGTAGTATAGATTTATAGTATACTGTAATTCTAGTTTTTTTTTATCATATTTCTGTTATTATTGTTGTTGTGCATTTGCTGTTTAGCTTTGTAAAACATAAATAAAGAGTCAATAAAAATAATTTTTAAAAAAAGCACCATTTAAAAAGTTTCGTTTTTAACGATTATTGGTGCAGTTAAACATAGTAGTATTTTTACATATTAAAGTGTTATTTTGCAATTTTTTAAAATTTTTCGATTATGAAATGAGATGCTAGTTTTATTGCGTGGATTAGCAGCCTTATCTGCAATAATTATTTGCAGACAGTTGGTTTTTTTTGTTGGTTTTTTATTCTGGGGTTTTTACCAGTGAAAAGCTTTAGAATATCTTAAAATGAAATTCAATCTTTTAATTTGAAAGTATATTGTTTTTGTTATTGTCTAATGTCCCCTGATTAAAAATATATTAAAAAAAACGTTTGACGACTTCAATTTTAGCATTAGATAAACTTCAATTTTTATTGAATTACCAAAATTGAAACTATTTCTTTACTATTGGTACAAAATTATGTTTAAAATATTCATTTTAGTGATGATAAATTATTTATCTTTTTACTGTTCTATTCAAAGACTTTTTTTAAGTTTCTGTATGTAGTTTTTGGACACTAGGATCAGGATTTTATGAGTAGTATATTTTATGAATAGTATCTTCCTCAGAAGTTCTAAAATAAGCATATGCATAAATGAATAAAGTGTAAGTTTCTCTCTTATTATTGTTTACGCAGAAAAATATTTATACTTTATTTAACACAACCATTTAATTTTAGTTTTTTTTTAAAAGTTATCTGAGGAAAAATAAACAATATAATGAATAAGGCAAGTTTTTTTTTTTAATCTAAGGTCTCCCTAAAAGACCCAAAGTTCTCGTTACAGAGCACTGCGAAAGTGCACTTAACCAGGAAGTTCAAGCCTCTTTTCTTACCGTGACACGAAAATATGTTCAGAGTTCGTTTCGAAACTGGATCTCCTGCTATTAAAGCAAGCGCTTTATCCACTGCGCCACGGCCGCACAAAAGACGAGTATGTTCAACCAAATTTCATGAGAAAAAATAATATCTTTGGAAAAACTAAACTGTAATAACTTTTTAACTTTGTAGCTTTTAAAGGAAAGACTTTATTTAATGCAATTTAATAATCAAGTGTTTATAAGAGTGCCGTGACGCAGTAGTTAGAGCGCTTGCTTTTGTAGCAGAAGATCCAGGTTCGAAACAAGCTCTGGACAAAATTTCGCGTAACGGTAAAAAAAGAGGCGTGAAACTTCTAGTTAAATGCACTTCCGCGGTGCTCTGTGACAAGACAGAAGAAGACAAGGCAAAAAAATAATAAAAATATCAAAGGTATGTAAATAAAAACTTTGATAAAAAATGTTTGTCAAGTATTAACCTGAGAGTTTTCAAACTTATGTAATATCTCCGGTGCTTCTTTTTATTAGAAATGTGGTCATCATGGAGTGAGTGTTCTGTATCATGTGGAAGAGGTAATAAAACTAGCTATTCATTAAAAGGGAAAGAAAGAGTCGAGTCTTGTGGAACATATAACTGTCCAGGTATTAGTTTTTAAGGTTTCCGAAAATCTATTTTAACTTAAGTTTGTCACTTGCTGACGCAAGTGAAGTTTTAGATTAGAATTATAATGCTTAACTAAATTTTTAAACTCAGCTGTAATTAGAACAGTTTTGGTAACAAGTGGTTAATCTAACTTATTGTTACCAATTACTGATATTCTTAAAAAATTGTGTGATTTTTAAAGGTTTTGAAAATAAAAATGAGTAAAGCAAATCTTAGTCAAAATCAAGAATGGCAATATTGAAACGATTGGTATTTCAAAAAATGGGCTTTGTAGGAAAGGAGTTTGTAAACACTATTATAATGATATAACACATTGATGTAAGATTTAGTTGTGAACCTTATGCAACAGAGCAAGCTAATTTTTTTTCATTTTACTTATACTATGTTTAAACCTTTATTTTATAAAAGTATATTTAATGCAAATTAAAAAATGAGATTTCAGGAGAATAGTGATGATGACTTTACGTGATGAATAAAGTACACTTACTTATAGTTTATGTGTTGTAATAATGGTATAAATAATAAAGTTTGTTATACAAATATTAAATTGATTTTAAATTTGGTCCTTTTTTGTTATTAATTAATTATTACTATATAAAAAAATATATTGATGTTTTCAAAAAGTCACAGATTTTGATTAAAAGATATCTTAGATCAAAATGTTTAACTCGATTTAGTTGATGGAATGTGGGGTAATTGGAAAAATCTTGATTGCTCTAAGACATGTGGTAGTGGAATAAAAACCTTCAGCAGAACTTGTAATAGTCCTTATCCTGCCTATGGTGGTCAAAATTGCATGGGTACTAGTAATTACACAGAAGATTGTCATAGTGATGTAATTTGCCCAGGTTCAATATTTTATCTTGTTACATTTTAGCATGCAGTTGTTTTTTGTTTCTTTTTATAATAAATTATTGTTGTTATATAGTAAGTTGTTTCTGTTTTTCATAGTAAATGGATATTGGTCAGCATGGTCACCTTGGTCATTATGTTCTCAGCAATGTGATGGGGGTGCAATTATTAGATTTCGAAGTTGTACTAATCCTAAACCAAGTTATCGGGGTCTGCCTTGCTACGGAAGCAGTAGTGACACATTTAATTGTTCTTCGAAAATTTGCACGCGTATAATTTTTTTATTTATATTTTTTGTAAAACTACTATTTATATTATGTTAATGTTACCTAAGATTCTCGTTATTATTTATAGTTGTGAATATGAACTTGGTCATTTTTTTTACGGACGAAAACTATACTGAGCAATATTCTGACTTAACAAGTGATCCTTCTATAGATCTTAAAAAACGAATCCAAAAAGCAGTAATAAGTAGTATTTTTAGATTTATTTATCTAAGATTACATTTTATCTAAGCTTAAAAATTAAGTGCAGATTTAATCAATCTCTATGTTAAAGTTAATAATTGTGAAATTGAGTTTTATTTTAATATTATTTTTATTTAGATTTCTAATTTTTATAGCCAATATAAAAAGAATGGTGGTTTTATTATTACATTGAATTTTATGAGGTAAGTTTATTTAAAAAATTCAACATAACCTATAATATTATTTAAAAAAGAACATAAAGCATAATAAAAATAATTTTTTAACAGCAGCTTTATTAATTTATGTAATTAAAATTGTTGTGGTCAAAGTATGGTTTTTAAACTTTTTTGAACAATTTATTTGTTGAAATTGTTAATATGTTTCTTCTTTTGATTAATTTTTAAAAATTAATAACATGTTTCTTCTTTTTTTTATTTATTAATATAAGCTATGATTACATAAACAACTACATACTACAATGTTTCCAAAATTTTAATACTTTAGGATGTAAATTATTTGCCTCGTCTAACTTAGTTCATGTTACCATAATTACATGTAAACGGTTTAACTAACTTCCCAATAATTTTAATTAGTTTAAATCTTTAATATAACCAGTATATATATATATATATATATATATATATATATATATATATATATATATATATATATATATATATATATATATATATATATATATATATATATATATATATATATATATATATACATATATATATATATATATATATATATATATATATATATATATATATATATATATATATATATATATATATATATATATATATATATATATATATATGCATTTCTGATAAATCAGTTTAACAGAAACTGTATACAAATAACATAACAAAAAATTAGGTCTGTGTAGATAAATGGTAAGTAAAGTTTTTGTAGTTAAGCCCCGATAATCCAAAGTCCACGGATTAAAAAATTCGAATATTGAAAACTTAAAATCATATTGAAACTTAAGATATCAATTATTTAAGTAGAAAAAAAGTAAAGCGAGACGCTTTTACACCACTTTTTTTATTTTTTTGATTGAAAGAAACAATTCTCGTTACGTAAAAACGTTTTTAGTTATACATAAGAGGAAGAGAAGACGTTTATTAAATTTTGGAAAGTTTTTCCACCCAACTTAAGCTTATAAAGATCATCTTCTCTCCTCTCGTTCAATCATTTTAACTTGTTATTGACAAAAAAATTAGTCAAATAATATTAAAACTAAAACAAAAATTTCAGTAAAAATCGACCTTAAAATTTAGAAAATAATTGTTTCAGTCACCAATAAAAACAAAAACTTCAGTGAAAATAGGCTTTAAACAAAATGTTTATACCGATTTGTCACTCTAGAATTAAATAGTTTTATTCGTGTTTTGTAAAAAAAATTAGTTTGGATTATTAAATTGAAATTTTTTATTAAAAAAAATTAAATTGTAACAAGAAAAAACTCATGCTTCTCCCTTACCTTTACCTCCCCCTCACTCTTCCTCCCCGTCCTCTCCTACTCCATTTAATAGATCTGGACTAAACTTGCGCACTCTCTCCTTTTATTCTATAAATCTTCCCCCTCCCCCTTCCCCTTTCTTTCCACCGCTTTTTCTGGTACTAAGAATATAAGAGTTATTAACACCCCGCTCTGTAAATTTGTTTAACTTGTAGAACTACAACTGTAACATAATATGACTGGATCCATAAAAGTGTAAAACAGATGGAAGTTCATCGAGTTGCAAACATCATAGCAATTTCAAGTCGTTTCTGGAGTACGCTTGTAACCGACAATAAAAATAAAAAAATTTCACTGGACAAAAAACAACAAAATTTACTAAAATAACTTTTAATTAAACATCAAAAAATGAATTACTCTAGGGATATGCTTCAAAACTTTAACCATTAGTAATTGCAATTATTTATCAAAAGGTTTATAAAAACTCGGTAATTTAGTAGAACCACTTGATTCTAAATGCGTATGTTAGTTTATGCTTCTTCTCTTGCATCAAGTCATAAACGACATTTGATTATAAAGACAACTTATACAACTTTTAAAAAACTAAAACAATTGTTTTCTAATTAGCTAAAGTATAAAATTTCATTAGCTGTATATCATAAATTCAATCATTCTTGTAGTACCCCATTTATTTATTATGAAGTTTATCAAAAAGTTGCTGTTTGCCGTTTAGTTGCGCTATTTTTACTGTTTTTCTTGAACAATATTGGTAAACCTTAAAAATACAATTTTTTTAAATATTTTAAACTTACCTATTGTCGTCAGGGTATAAAGATTAAGCGTTTAAGTACAGTCTTGATGTCGTTATCTTATTGTTTTCTAAACAAAAGGTTACAAGCATAGTCCCGAATAATTTCAATGCAATTGAACTTCCATGTGTTTTATACATTCATGCTCGATCTAATTTTTGAGGTTTTTTAGATGCTTCTTGATAAACTATTTTAATGTTAGTACGTTTGCTTTAGCACTTAAAAAAATAGCTGTTCTATCGACGGCAATAAACCTGCAGCAAAGGTGGTAATATAAGGTTATATTAGTCTGCCTCTGAAAATTTAAAACAACTTTTATTTGTTACTAGAACTTGTATTAGCTATTTCTTTTTTCAAAGTTTAAACACTACTAGTTGAAAAACTCATTATCAACCTCATGCTCCTGTACTGTTTGATGAACTTTTACCTAAAAAACACGAAATTAACTATTATTTGCATACCTTTTCAAAAAAGTTTACCCGGCTATTGAAAAGTCAACTTTGACATAAGTACTGCCATGTATTTAAATGTGTTTAGAATGTCATAGTCATGGATATTCTATGTTTAGCGATTGCGTTTTACTTCCAAGTTCTTCATCCATCAACAAACGGAGGAGTCTATATAATACATGGTGTTGACAAATGATAAACTGAGGTTTGCTGATGCGTTTCTCTGTGAACATTCGTTGCAATATTACAACAACACCATTCTTTTTTCTAGTTTTAAAGCGGGTGGTATCTTCAATAATTGTCTGTATTGAATTCCATGGGTGTAACTCATTGAGGACTTTAGAAATTCCTTAAGCAATAGTTAAATTCCGGCCATCTACCATGCCAAGGACATCCAACTTGATTTTTCTTCTTTCATTTTTAAGGACGACCAATTGATAATCCCTTCTGTGATGACTCTTTGTTGTGCTTGCCATCATAGTGTAAGGACCAACTTTCCATATGCAACTTTTCAATCATTTTTTCCTTCAGCTTGATTGCCTCTTTGATTGTTGACTTGTAAATAGCTGATTAACATGGAGTTAAAAATGTCAACGTCTTCATAAGCTAATTGCTTGCATATAATAGCAGCTTTGTTTGTTGATACTTTTTTGAAGGTCAACAAGTTAACTGCGATTTTTCTTTATTAAGCTTTGCTCGTAAAACTTGATCAGATACATGAGGATAATTCAGTTTATTCTTCAACAAATTGGTTACTTCTTTGAAAATTTCCTCTATTCGCGGAAGTTTTCAAAGAAGCCATGTGTTGCTTCTGTAATAACTACAAAATTAGATAAGCAGCTATGTATAGTCTAAAATGTTCTAGAATATTCTAGAATGTTCTAAATTGTTCTAGAATGTTTCAAAATAATTTAATTTTTTCTAGAATGTTCTAAATTGTTCTAGAATGTTTTAAAGTCTTCTAAAGTATTCTGTCATTTTCCTAAGTGTTTTTAAGTTCTGAACACTTCTAATTTATACAAGTTTGAAATGATTTTCAGGCCACACATATTATTAATAGCAGTAATGCGGCGGCGGTGCAGTGGTTAGAGCTCTTGCTTTGTAAGCAGGAGATCTAGGATCGAAACGAGCCTCGGACATTTTTTCGCGTCACGGTAAGAAATGAGTCTTTAACTTCCTGATTTAATGCACTTCCGCAATGCACTGTGACAAGAATGTTAGGTCTTCTTGGGGCACCTAAACAAAAATTAAAAAAAAATCAAGATTAACTAAATGACAAAACGTAATTTAAATGTCGGGGTGACCTTTTTCTTCAACCGAGAGGAGTTTTACATGTTTTCAATGTTTTATAATAAAAGTTCTTCAATTTGTGACACAGTAAAATGATTTATTTTCTAAAAGTCAAAATATCATAACCCTAATGTACATACCTACAGTTGATATTTTGTTTGAGCGAGTACTTCGTTCATTTTTTTATTTTTTTTTAGAAACGATGATGGTTCTAATCATTAACTCAATTAAAACATTTGATTTTAATTTTTTCTACATCCAAGAAATTGAACTATGCTGCTATTCGCAACATTTCTTGTTTGTGTGAAACATTGTTCAATTTGTTTGAGATTGCTATTTGGATTTACGAATGTCATAATGACGATAATAAATTATTAAGTTTGATTGACGTTTTTTTTTTTATTTTTTTTTTATTGCTGTTACAGCCCTACATGATGTGGATATTGGAATGTCTGCATGTTGGAGAAAAGTGGAGAACATTTAGTTGTCCATAACATGTGTAACTCAATATTCATTGCAAGTATTAGATACAAAACCATTGATGCGCATGTTTTTTTAAAGCAGAGAAAAGAAACTTTTAAAATTCCTATAAAAGACGAGGTTTTATATTGCTACGTAGTAATATGATATTACAAAAATTTGATTTTTTTTTTCTAACCAGTGTAAGTCTATTATAGTCATTTTTATATCATAAAAATTAAAAAAAAGATTTTTTTTATCAAAAGTAAAATATTTTTCTTTTTAATTTAGAAAGTAGAGTATAATTTTTAATTAGAAACAAAAGTTGTGAGACTTACATAATTGTTGTTGTTTTGCAAAACTATTGTATTCTGTTATTATTATTATTATTATTATTATTATTATTGCTATTATTATTATTATTATTATTATTATTATTATTATTATTATTATTGTTTTATTTTATTTTATTTTTTTTGATATTTACTTTAATATTTTGTTGTGTATCACTCTCTTACAAAAACTAATAAAGAAAAAAATTATTTTTGTTATTTATACCACACAAGTGCTCTATTGCAGTAACGAACTGGCTGGATATATTTTACCAGCCATAAAAATAATTAAAGGGCCCTCCTAACCATACGTGTATCGCAAAGACTGCCTAATCCGCAACTTTTTGAAAATAAGTCTTAAGAAGAACAATTAAATTACAGATTATTAAAATTATATTGAACTAAAAAAGTACAAGTGATGCGCAATTTGCACATCGCAAAGTATAGCCAATAACTATTCTTTAAACAGTTTGCTTAATTCAGAGGACAAAGATACATATTTTAGAATGATTGTATCATACTCAAAGCTATCAATTAGAATTTTTTCTTCAGACACTTTAAGTGGTCATTCGACATTTTTTTCGCAATCTTGTCTTGAATAACTTTAATTTAGAAAACGATCTTTCAAATTCGGCATGTGTTACAAAAATAGTGCATATTATTTTATTAATATGATACAAATTGGCATAGGTTTTATCATTAAGTCTATATGCCGCAAGAATTCGTAACACACAAGATGGGAACGATTCACATGCTCCATTAGTATGCTGATAACAGCGCTGTTCTTCTACGTTATCCTTTTGATCTGCATTCTCTCTCAATGATGTCGTTAAGGGCAAGAGCACTTTTAAAATCTCTTAGTGACGAATGACAACAGTTTGATCTTTGTTTTATCAACGTCAGAATCTGGTAAAAATTTTATAATGCTGTGTAAACTGTTTTCAGTAATTGCCAAAATGGCAACATCACCAAAGTTTGATGTATCAAAACATGCCGTATTGTAAGTGTGAATTCTTTAGTGTTCTAAAACTTTAGATTCGTCACGTTCTTCAACCGTGTTTTTATGTAATCCCATTGGATTCTTCCCCTTTCGTTTAACTGGTAGTTCCATCTTCACCTCTTGTATGGTTCAGTTCTATGTATGATGCTTGCATTTGCCATTCATATAAATTGAAGAGTGTATTTATTAACATCATCAAAAAGTCTTTGATTGACTTTTCAATTCAATTGCGGCCTTCTATACCATCTTGAATGCAATCAACACATTTAATCCACAAGTTTGCAGGTATATTAAAAGTGGTTCCACTTTTTCAAAAATTGGCAGGTACGCGGTGTAGTTAAGGTGATTCACAAAATGATTGAATACTCTTATTTGGAATTAGCATGGCTTTGTAAGCATATTATGTCCAAATAAGATCTTTAATTGTTATAATTTTTTTTTTCTTATGGTTTTTATAGTAATTAAAGAAATTTTTCTTTTTATTTATACTTTTCAAAACCTTTTAACTAACCGAAATAGTAAATCTAAAGATAACTATTTTGAAGTCTTTAGATTAATTCCGCTCGTCGGCATTAACATAAAATTAGTTGAAATCTTTTGAAAAAGTTCCTTAATTTACTACTGACCCTAGTTCTATAAGGTTCTGACGTATATTTACTGTAAATAGTTGTCAAAACACAATATTTACATAAATTTTCACAAAAAATACTAGAATTCTGACCATTGTGGAAAATTGCCAACAAACAACCAGAGTCGATCATGTTGTTAAACTATTATGTTCATTTCACCAAAAAAACGTTTTAATATAAATCTTATAAAATTTTACTCAAATTCCGACGAGTAATTTTAAAATGAATTAAAAAAAAAAATTAAAAAAAAAAAAAAAAAATTTGGCTATATTTAATGATACCGCAAAATTTATCATTTTATTATTTTTCGTCTTTTTATAATTAGACAGAGATCGCAGACGAAGATCCTTCAACGGAAATATGTCGTACTCAACAAAATATCATACAGACGCAATAATATTTTTAAAGTGCCTTAACTTCACCGAGTAGGTAAAGGCAGTCAAAATAGTGTCAAATTTTAGGAATGGCATGAGCAGTCTTAGCTTCATGACTGGTCTTTGCATCAAAATTTTCTGATTCGTTTATGCATGACAGACATAAAACTAAATTGACAAACATTGTTGAAGATGGCTCAGCAAATGTTCCAAATCATAATTGCAGCATCTGATTTACCGGACCACCATGTTTCAACAATCAATTTCAATCTTTTCATCTTATCCATTCCAATTTATGTTTCAATAAGTTTAATCGGTGTTGTCATTTGCTTACATGATACTTTTATGAATTTTAAACATTTTACAAAAAGGTTAAAAAATGAAACTGCCTGAATACAGAAACTGGTTGCCTCTTTTACAACTAAGATGAGAACATAAGCATAACACTAAATATGTAAATGGTGGTCTTCAGCTTCTTCAATCTTTTGTTCCAGTCCGTTGTGCTAGCCATGATAATTTGAAGAACCATCAGTGCTGTCCGATATTCAATATTGTAAATTAAAACTAAGCCGCTGTAGCCTCAAACTTAAGAGATCGAACAAGCCTAGGCCAGTACCGTCATTGCTTGGTACAGTAGAAAGCAGCTGTTCATACACAGTAGCATTTAAAATATAGCGAACCACAATGCTAAATTGGTCAATTGCAAGTATATCTTGTGTAGAATCAACTTGTACGGAATACACTTTTGCTTTGGACACTTCCATTAAAATCTGTTCCTGCACCATATTTTTCATAATATTGAAAAGGTTTGATATAGTAGTCTTACTTTAAAACGTAACCAGAGCACCGCTATACCTTGACGCTTTAGTTTTCTATTCTTTTGGTTGATTTCTCTTGACACATGGAGAGATGAAAAGCTAAATGAGGGTCATATTTGTCTATGAGCTGAACCAAAACCAAAAAATTTCCATGATTTCTTTATCATTATCCATTGAATAAATTCATTTCATTTTTATGACCTCAAAATGGCAATATGTGCTTATATATATATATATATATATATATATATATATATATATATATATATATATATATATATATATATATATATATATATATATATATATATATATATATATATATATATATATATATATATATATATATATATATATATATATATATATATATATATATATATATATATATATATATATATATATATATATATATGTTTAATGATATTAATAACTTGAGAAAGTATTTGTTTCCACATCAGTACTTCATCATTATGATTCTTTATTGCTGTGCTGCAAAATCTATCAATGTCTTGATTATTCATTATACGAATGTAATCAAAAACATGTCTGTGGTGGGTGCTGCTTGATTCGTGTTCTGCAACCCGTTAGCCAACTCGTCTAAATTTTTTGAAACCAGACACAAATGATGAAACGGTGATAGACTGTGATGGTTCAAATGCAACACAAAGTAAACAATATAGAGACTGAGAGTTTTGGCTAAATAACAACCAATTACTCTGTGTGCTATCCTTTATGTCCATTAGTCTATGGTAGACCTTGTCATCATACAGCAAACCATTTTGTCATCATACGGCAAATGTTCATGTGGTTAAGTTTGATGTTTGCTAAAAAAATATTTTAACAGCAAACGTGGTCGATATTCAAATGTTGATATATATATATATATATATATATATATATATATATATATATATATATATATATATATATATATATATATATATATATATATATATATATATATATATATATATATGTATATATATATATATATATATATATATATATATATATATATATATATATTTTTTTTTTCTTTTCTTTATTGCAATATTTAATACAATATTGACATGCAAAGAACTCGTTCAAAAATAAAGAATAAAGATAAAATGCACTTCAAGGTGGTCCAAAATGTTGTGTAGAAGAATTTAGAAAGCGAAATGATGGTGTCACTGTATGTGAAGCCAAAATTGCTAAACCACTGTCAAAGAATGGTATACTTCCATAAGTATCATACATTAATTATTTGCAGATACATTCATCTTCATACATCCAATTTTTCTTTTTTCTTTTTAATAATAATAATAATATATATAGGGTCGTTTCCACACATATCGTGAGTTTAATAAAAGTCAGGGTTATAAAAGTCAGTTATTATAATATCTTAGATTACTCAAAAAGTAGAAATGCATTAAAAATGGATTTTTGCACCGTCAATGTAATACTATAAGAGTTAGTTTAAAATTATTCTCACTCTAAAGATTAAATTAATAATGTACTTATTTTGATTCAAATTTGAAAGCGCAGTTTTCCATACTTATCGTAAGTGTTTCACACTTATCGTATATATTGTCGACACTTGCCATATGTCTTAAAATCTGCTTTAATGTCTGGTTGGAAATGCGCTTGCAGTTTAAAATAAAAATGTAATGCGTTAGTAACATTTTCTTAAACGTTTTTAGGTGTATAAATTAAAAAAAAGAGACTATTAAATAAATATTAACTATATAGTAATGAAAATATTATTACGAATTAAAACTAAAGATTTTAAAGCATTTCCATTATTTTAGTACATATCCTTTAAGTTCTTAAACTGGAAAAGGGTAGAATTTTATCATAAAAATCAGAGTCTTATTTTATAATTATTTTCAACATTTAAATAGAACTCGTTTTCTGACTCAGTTTAAAGACTTTCTTTTTCTTTTGCAATTTTTTTTTGTCTTTTTAAGTTTGTTCATTTAATAACTTTTTCTAAATAGCCAATTGTTTCTTTTTTAATCTTTCTTCCTTTATTTGTGAATTTTTATCCGAAGCTAATTGATTCTTTC